ATATGGCCGGTAAGTAGTGAGTGTTAGGGCCGATTCACAAGACCACTTTTTGCGACGCGACTTGCGACAGTTGCGACAAGAAAATGCCTGTCGCGGGTTGTTGCTAGCAATCGCAAGGTGCCTGTCGCAGAAGTTAAAGAAGGTAACAACTTTTGCGACATGTGACGTGTGACGTACACGAATGGAGTACAGTTTCTCCTTTGGGTGCACATGCAGTGCACATGCAGTGCACACGCTGTGCACATGCAGTGCACATGCAGTGCACATGCAGTGCACGTGCAGTGCACTTGCTTAGCACCAAGAGTACATGAATCCCAGAGTGTGCAGCTTGGGGCCTTTTCTACTATGGGTGTCTGTCACGGCGGAAATCCATGATTACATCATATTTGGCGCAGATCTGAAGCGGGAAATGGCGTAGTGCGTACAACTGAGCTGCAGTTGTGCAGAAAGAGACCTGCGTGAATCCTGCTTATACGCACTACATCACTAAAATGATGTAATCACGGAATTCCGCCATGACAGCAACCCATCCCAGCTGCACACTCTGGTCTTCATGTACTCTAGATAGCACTACTAGTGCATAGGGCCGATGGCGCAAACATGAAAAAGATTGTGAACCGTGTGTCGCTGTCGCAGCTCGTTGCAGGTGTCGCAATTCGCATGTCGCATCGCAGAAAGTTGTATTGTGAATGGGCCTTCCGATTGTGAGTACCTTGAGAGCGGTGTGATTAGTTACCTGTCCAAGCAGCACAGTATGACATTCAGTATGACAACTTGGACACTGATATGTCTACAAGAAGACTAAAGATAATATAAACAAATCTGAAGAGAAGGAAAACACAACTGAAGAGGCAAAGTACATGAGGCACGGAAGTATCTCCCAAGCCAAGCAAGCATGCCGTTATGGTGCGAGGTCATACAACTGTGGTACAAATCTAGTACGGGAGTACATAAAATACAGATCACATTATGCCATGGAGAATCCATATACATCACGCCCCTTCGAGATAATGCTGGGAGAATGAATCCAGTATTATCTATCAAAGAGTGGTTCGGCTGACTGCGATGACTGGAATTCTCGACACACGGAACAGGCACGGACAATGGTGTCTATATCGGCGGTGAGACCAGGCCAGTATATGAGCTGTCAGCCGCGAGCGTTAGTACGGACGAGACCTTGATGCGAGGCATGAAGGTTATCAAGAACACGTTGACGCATAGCCAAGGGAAGAAGAATGCGTTGGCTCTTCTTGACGATGCCCTGGTCCACTGACAGGCAGGGCATAGCTTAAGGATTTCATTTAGCTCGGACAAATGTCCTTCCGTTTTGAAATCTGTCCGGACATGCCCGGACATTTTCCACAACACATTTTCAGGGTGTTTCTTCTTTTTTAGCAGTACTGAGTATATTCACAATGACTCATTATGTGGACGTTTCTCACACATTACTATGTACAATTCGCCAATTTATTTGTATTAGAAACTGAACTATTTTACTGACGACAAATGTCTGTACAAAAAAGCGTTGCAGTCAGTGCCTTCGCAATTGGAGCGAATTCGAGGGCATTTCGAGCGGGGCACTCTTGCCTGCGGAAAAGATTCATTCCTCGTTTATGCATCTCCGTTCCAGCATGATCCTTGAATGCTGATGTTCTCAGGTTCTTGGATCCGGTTATGAAAGCCTCGCTGAAGTTTTTACAACTGCGGACTCTGTCTACAAACTTGATGCACACGGAACACTTCAAACAGCCGATCGTTCTTCTGCCGGTCATAAATCAGCCAGGCGGAAGTAGTCAGCTCTGCATCATTGTCCGAGATCCACTTATCGCAAGTAGCGGTCTTTACACCACGGACTTTTTTGCCCGGCGGCAAGTCCTCTGAATCTCCCTTTCGCTTTCCAGAAGACATTCTAAAAGACCATCGGCATTCCTGGTCAGTGAAAGAGTGAAAAATAAAAGATGACATCTTCCTCTCAAGAGCGAACAACTGCACTGCAGTTCAACCCATCGATTCAGGTGCGAAGTCGACACCATGTACCAAAGGTCGAAAGTGTGAATTGACTGTAGCAACCGCGTTGCTACAGGCGAATTATGGTGAAGTCTACGCCTGAGGGGTCGAGGCTACGGTGTAGACGTGTTAGTTGTACGATATGCAAGTCGCATTTGGCACGAAGCTCCGAAGAAAGCCCAACTCTGCATAAAAAGGTCGAAAGGTCGCTGCTCTTTTTTTCCTTTTTTGACCGGACACTATGTCCGGTGAAATTGAAAACGTCCGGTCAGTGGCCGAAAATGGCCGGAAAATGTCCGATGTCCGGCCGTTAATCTATGCCCTGGACAGGTGTTCACGTCCATTCCAGAAGGGTCGGAGCGGAGCATCCAAATCACACTGACGAGCGGGAAAACCATGCAGAACGCACTGCACAAGAGACTGATAGACAGGATCAGCTGAGGCGGTTGCTCGAAGTTCAGCAAACTTCAGGTTGGGGTGAGATCATCACGGAGCATGCAGACGCGGATGCTGCGGCAAGGAAGAGCAGGAGCTTCACCGAGTTCATCATCTGAAGACGGGATGCCGACGGGATTACGAGATAGGGCATCATCAAATGCATGATCGGAGCCTTTTCGTCAGGAAGCGTGGACTTGATACGACTGCAGCTTCAGGCAAAGACGGAGAAGGCGAGGATTCTTGATTTAGTCCAAATAATATGAGTTGATAATAGGGATCAATGGACGGTGATCAGTAATAAGATCGAACAGGGTGCCAGATAACTCAGTTAGCACTTGTGTACGGCCCAAACGATGGCGAGCATCTCGAGCTCAACAGCATAGCGAGATTCGGTGTCAGAGAGATAGCGGGAGCCACACTGGATGTTCGCCACTTATCGTCCTGCTTCTGCCACAGAACGAAGCTGAGACCACGCAGTGCTGAGGCATCAGTCTCCAGACAGAGGTCGTGTCCATGCTGGTAGAAGACCAGGATAGGAGGAGAAAGCAGAGCAGACTTGGTCTCCTCGAACGCAACAGTGTGTTTGGCATCCCAGACAAATTCACGGGTCGTCTTCAACAGGCCACGAAGCGGAGTGGTGCAGGCTGCGAGGTGTGGTGAGAACTCACTACACTGGTTTACCGGGCCAAGAACCGAACGCAAGTCAGTGTGGTTCGCAGGAATGTCAAACTCACGAATAGCAGCTGCCTTGTCATTGAACGAGCTGTTCACTGCGCCATGATATGTCTACAAGAAGACTGAAGATAAATATAAACAAATCTGGAGAAAAGGAAAACACAACTGAAGAGGCAAAACACATGAAGCACGGAAATTTCTCCCAAGCCAAGCAAGCATGCCGTTATGGTGCGAGGTCAAACAACTGTGGTACAAATCTAGTACGGGAGTACATGAAATACAGATCACATGCAATAGAGGCGAAAGGCTGTGTAGCTGTAAGTTTCACACATTTCAGCGATCATCAGTCAGCAGCATTTACTATCGAATTCTCTACGAGCAGGCCTAGATATTTGATGCGTTGGTGCGTATGTGTGAAGTGTAGACGTAGCAATGGGGCAGTGCTATTGAGTTGTTTGTGAGAGTTAAAATACAGCTCACATTATGGCATGGAGAATCCATATACATCAGACACATGATGGGATGTCAGTGGCAGTGCTAGTGATGTGTTGACTGAGATATGCTACACTTTCATTCATCATGATGTTGTACTGGCTTGTGTCGGTGTGCACTGTGCATGCATGCATGCACAGTTATGACTTGATTGCTCACTTTTGTGCGGCCATGCGCTACGATGGCATGTTTCAGCAACACATCTGCTCGTTGTGCTTCACGTTTCCTTGTCTGTGTGTATGTGTGTGTGCGTGTGTGTGTGTGTGTGCGTGCGTGTGTGTGTGTGTGTGCGTGTGCGTGTGTGTGTGTACATGTGTGCATGCGTCCACATCTGCTTCTTTGTCCATGTGTGTACATGTGTTTGTATGTGCGTTGTAGGTAAAGGCGTGGGTACCCTGTATGCGTCTGATACACAGGGAATAAACTATGCTACCTCACTTTCCAATCATGTGGTAAGTCGTCCTCTACTCTAAATACATGGTAATCATTGCTTGCTTTACTTCTAATGTCATCGTTGACTTGGACTACTATTGTCACGTTCAGCCATGTGCAGTTTCATTTTGCACCAAGCATCTGCATGAATTCTTTTTAGATTCTCGTACTGTTGCAGCTTTGTGGTGCTTCATTGAATATGTTTGCTTGTCTGTCTGTCCGTCCGTCCGTCCGTCCGTCCGTCCGTCCGTCCGTCTGTTCGTCTGTCTGCCCGCTTGCCTGTCCGCCCCGTCTGTTTGTCGGTCTGTCTGTGTGTCTGTTTTGTATTTATGTGGTACAGCATCATCACAGCAAAACTGACTTCTACGTCGTCAAGTCGATACGTGCCACCTATATCACCACTGTGACAGATTCTGGTACGTGGACAGCATGTGTGTGTGTGTGTGTGTGTGTGTGTGTGTGTGCGTGCGTGCGTGCATGTGTGTGTGTGTGCGCGTGTGTGTTTCGTGGATTGAGATTGCTTCAACTGTACCGTGAAGGTCATATTCCAGCTACCTGGACTCTACCGATTTATAGAGCAAAGTCTAATTGCAACTCATTACATGTCAGACTTTGCTCATCCGGTCCCTTTTTATCCGGGTCACTCTGTTGTCCGTCCCAGTTTATGCATTTTGTGTGAGAAACAATGATGGACTGCTGTCATTTCTATACTTGAGCCGTGTTGTTGTTGGTTTGACGTGTGGCCCGGTTGATATGCCTATTTTATTATATTACAGGAAATCCGAATTCGACCTTGCAAAGTCGCATCACGTTCAATCGTGGAGGACGCTGGCATCCACTCAGGACCACCGAGTGCGATGTAAGTCACTTTACTCGGCTGAGGACAGCACTCGGAGTACATGTACATGCATTGCTTGGAAGAGCACTTGCGCCCTCCGCGGCGTGCGTTAACAGGGCCCGTGATCTACCCTAAATACACCTGCAGTGCAGTTCGTACCGTATCTTGCATGTACATGTACCTTTGTGTGGCAATGAGGAAGTACACTTGACCGCACCAGCTCTGTATAGACACACTTGTTCAGGTTTGGTATGATTCCGCTCAACTTTCTGGACAGACGTCACTTTGTTAGTTTTGTCCAGCATTGCTGCTTTGCGCATTGTCTCACAGTCAATCTCTGCGTGCATGTGCATCATGTGTCTGTGTCTGTGTCTGTGCATGTGCATCATGTGTCTGTGTCTGTGTCTGTGCATGTGCATGTCTGTGTCTGTGTGTCTTTCCATGTGCACGGAGTTCTCAGTATTTACAAAGAGAAATCGCTGCGCCGTGTCTCTGGCCCACTCAGCGTAAAGGGTGCACACGGCCTGGTTTTAGCACATGGTAAGTCACTAGCAATGCCAATGTAGAGTGTAGAGTGTAGTCAGGCGCGTGCACCGCGTGGTTTTCTTGGAGCCCGGAAACCACCTTTTTGCATCCGCTATGAAGTGCATTCTGCAAACACGCAAATATTTCGTAACTCGGCTTTTCCTGAATGGAATCGAGTAATCGAAAGGGCTATTCGCATTAGAAAGTTCTCAGCTGTCCGCTCCAACACATCCGAAGTCGATCCAAGGTCGAATAGTGGAGTTACGGCACTCGACAGGTATTTTACGTCCCATTGCAAATTTTAACTTCCGCACTTGGGTGGCAATCATATTTTGTCATAAATATTTTCCTCTAATGCATGCACGACATGGTGACAGTCCAGACATGCATAGACCTGTGTGACGTCAGGCACAGGTCTTTAGTGGTCAGCTACAAAAGAAAGGAGCGCTCTACGATGAATACTACAAAAATACCATGGATCTTAGCGAATTGTCTCAATTTCCGGTTGCGCATGTCTTCCCAGGGCTATAGTGCCACTGCAGACTCAGACAGTGACATGGATTGACCTGCTTCTTTGACTCACTTACTAGCAAGAGTGTCTGAATCTTCCTTCACTACTTCGAACTACTTGTATAACGTCGGCTAGCCTATTCATTTATCCTATTTATCCTGTGTCAGGAACATGCCTTTGTACCACATTTGTTTTGATGGCTCGGTGGGACTGGCAGCCATAACTTTTAAAGCTTTCTTTCAGTGTGTAATGCGTGTAATACTGCTGAATCTGCAGGTAGCTTATTGCAAAATGGCTGTCGAAATTTTTTGGAAACCACCTTTTTTTACCCGGTGCACGCGCCTGGTAGTACGAGTCGTAGTGAAGACCACTCACTCACTCACTCACTCACTCACTCACTCACTCACTGACTGTCTGTCTGACGTACATGTACAGGACATACCGTCACAGAGGACGTTTTTCCGTTGTATGCTTCTTATTATGGTACCCTGTGTGGGTGATTGGCAAGTGGCGAGGTGGTGAGATTGTGAGGTTGTGATGTGGTGATGTGGTGATGTGGTGATGTGGTGATGTGGTGATGTGGTCATGGTATGTGGTGATGTGGTGATGTGGTGATGTGGTCATGGTTCGTAAAAAAAACCTGTATACATGTTGACATCCTATACATGAATCCCACTTTCTTTCTTTTTTTAACTCTGATGTTGAGCCAATACACTGTACATGTAGTAGTTTAGGACTGTTGTGTGGACTGTTAGTCATAACTCGTGACCTAGTGGGCCTTTCCCTCTTTTTACTTATTTCACAATGCTCGTTTTAACTCAGAAGTAGCGACAAACTCGGCCATTTGAAAATAATCTTAACCGTCCACCTCTCCACACTGCACTCTTGGCCCACATTCACAACACACACTTGGTGTTGTGAATGTGGGCCAAGAGTGCAGTGTGGAGAGGTGGACGGTTAATAAGATAATGCTCATTTTTTCTCTTGACTGTTGTATGTAGATGCTGTTCCTTCTCTCTCACCCATACTTTCTCTCCCCTCTCCTCTCTGACCAGGTATGGCTGGCAAGTATGTTGACTCCAGCAAAGCCGACGTGTATGTTTCCACGAATGGTGGATATCTTTGGAAGAAGGTATTTCATACTCATACTTCATGTACAGTGTACATGGCTGGTAGCATCAGCACTAGAGAGGTTCCGGGGTACGATTTTCCGTGCCAAAATCCGTATGGGCGCTACAGATTTTTTCCAGGCATGCTCCATACGATTTTTCGGCACGGAGAATCCGTGTGGACTGGCTTTCACACGAACCATGTTTCGTATGGAGATTTTGCGTCATCGGGTGCAGAAAGATTTTTCGCGCACAAATTTGGTACGAGAAACATCGATTTTCCGCGGGACGTTTTGATTTCGGTACAAATTTTCAAAATAAAAAGGCATAGCGCGGGAATGTGACGTGTTTGCGATCGTAACCTAGGCAATGACAGCAAACACATAAGTTCCGTACTCCGGAACATTTCACTGCTCGAAAACGACGTATAAAAAATCCGTAGCGCCTCTACGGATTTTGGCACGAAAAGTCGTACTCCGGAACCTCCCTAATATGATCATGTTCTAGTAGTAGCACATTCCCAAACAGACAGTCCTTATACTAACCGTTCACATTGCAGTAGTGAACAGGTTGTGTTGGTGGCAGGTTATGCTATGGACTTAAATTGCCATTCACAATGACTCAACTCTCACAATGTCTCATTGTGATAAATTAGACATTGAACACGCGGCACTATTAAATTAGGGAGCATTGTCTGCTTATAGCCCGGCTCACAAACCAGTAGTGTTGATATTTGGGTAAATGTGTATTCCAGCACGTACCACAGGCCTATGCTGTGTTAGTAGTGTATGCATCTTGAATATCAAGATGTGTGCGCATGTGTGTGTGTGTGTGTGCACGCGCGCGCGTGCGCGTGTGTGTGTGCGTGCGTGCATGTGTGTGTGTATGTATGTATGTGTGTATGTGTGTGTATGTATGTATGTGTGTGTATGTGTGTGTATGTGTATGTTCTACAGGCCCTATCTGGTATTCACCAGTACACTATAGGTGACTGGGGCAAGCTGATTGTAGCTGTTCCACTCACAACCTCTGACAACTTACAGGATACACTGTAGTAAGTAGTACACCACACGCCACACATCACACACCATACACCATACGCCACACATCACACACCATACACCATACACCATACACCATATACCATACATACTCCACATACACCATACACCACATACCACACATCACACACCATACACCATACACCATACACCATACATACTCCACATACACCACACACCATACACCACACATACTCCACATACTCCACATACTCCACACCATACACCATACATACTCCACATACTCCACATACTCCACACCACACATACAGTCAACTTCGCTTATAACGACACTCGGCGGGGCATCAAAAAGGTGTCCTTGTTCGCGAAGTATCCTTATACCCGAAGTCTCATTATAATTATGTATTACAGTGGGATGGGACTTTGCTCTGGGCATGGATATTCTGTAGTTATTCGCGAATTGTCGTTATATCCGCAGTCGTTATTAGCGAAGTTGACTGTACTCCACACCACACATACTCCACACCACGCATACTCCACACCACGCATACTCCACACCACGCATACTCCACACCACACATACTCCACACCACACATACTCCACATACTCCACACCACGCATACTCCACACCACACATACTCCACACCACGCATACTCCACACCACGCATACAACACACCACACACCACACACCACGCATACTCCACACCACACACCACGCATATTCCACATCAGGCACCAGGGAGTCGTAGCATCTAGAAAGAGAGACGACACATGTGACTGTGATGCTAAATGATGTGGGTTTCGCTCCCAGGTTGCCAGTTCTAATCGCCCTCGGGGCAGGGTTGATTTATGCACGCTCGCACATGGCATCGCTGATCTTGGTTGCGTTTGGGATCAGCAGGTCAAAGGCTGCAATTGCGATCGCAAGTTGTACAGACCCCGGATCACATATATCCTCTAAATCCGCGGTCGAAACATACATTATTTTCATGCACTATGATCTTATGCCGTCTGCCTATGACTCCTTGCTCCACACATACTCCACGCACACAGACACACTCCTCACGCGCTGACATACATGTATGAATGCCTTGATTGTTCATACCCACCGTGCTGAGAGTTGTTACCGGTAGTATTGAGAACACTCGCATCTGCACTGGCATTTTAGAATGTCTAGTGTACTAGCAGGCCTGCACATGAAAGTTGTAGTATGCTCTACATTAGTGTGTGCCTTACCAGGGGCGTCAGAAGGTAATTTAGTGTGATACTGTCAGCCATTTGAAGTACAATTTACTCATGGGGGAGGGATGGCTGAGCCGAAATTTTGGAAATTTAGAGCCCAAATCTGTGCATTTTATTGATTCGCGGGGTACTTGGGGGCAAATAGTGGTACGGTCAATACCGTAGTGACCGTACCGTGTGCGATGCTGCTGCTTACCTGTGTGTGTGTGTGTGTGTGTGTGTGTGTGTGTGTGTGTGTGTGTGTGTATGTGTGTGTGTGTGTATGTGTGTGTGTGTGTGTGTGTGTGTGTGTGTGTGTGTGTGTGTGTGTGTGTGTGTGTGTGTGTGTGTGTGTGTGTGTGTGTGTGTGTGTGTGTGTGTGTGTGTGTGTGTGTGTGCAGCTATTCTGAGAACTACGGTCAGTGCTGGCACAGTAGCAAGTTCAGCACGGTCAGGTGGTGGTTCACTGGCATACTGGCTGACCCGGTGACTAATGGCATGCAAGTCACACTCTGGGGCTTCACACCACAGGATGGCGTCTGGCAAACTGTCACCATGGAGTTTGAAGACGTCGTGGAACGCAAATGTGAGTTTACGAACTTCACAAGCTCTCAGCTACAGAAGCTGCCAATGAAAATAAGTAGTCATCCTGTGCCGGGTACAGCAATCACCTTTTTTCACTTCCAATTCTAATGCATTGAGTGCAGCTGTGCAAACTAGTGCACTTGTGCCATAGTTGGAGGAACAAATCGCGGTTCTGTGCGTACGGACAACTCGGTATTTCATTGACCAATGCTGTGCTCTTGTTTCTCTGGTGGATGACATTCTCAATGGAGTTGAATGATTGAATGTAATACTGTGTGCTGCTACTGCTGCTACTGATGCTACCACTGCCTATGCTGCTGCTGTTGCCATGGATAATGCAGGTACCGGTGCTGACTTGGAAACATACGTTCCTCACCTGGAGAACCGCGACCACGACGATGAGAAGATGGAAGGTTGTCTGCTGGGAAAAAAGGAAAGCATGAAAGTGGTCAAGGCTGATAGATGGTAAGTTGGGAGTGTGATGGATGGTGATCTAGGAGTGCAATGGATGGTGATCTCTGGGGCGTGCGATGAATGGTGATCTAGGAGTGTGATGGGTGGTGGACGGGGAGTGTATTTGTATGTCCATGATTGCGTTTGTATGTCCATGTGTTACTGTGTTCCTGTGTTTGTATGTCCATGTGTATTTGTATGTCCATGTGTGTTTGTATGTCCATGTGTGTTTGTATGTCTATGTGTGTTTTGTATGTCCACGTGGGTTTGTATGTCCACGTGGGTTTGTATGTCCACGTGGGTTTGTATGTCCACGTGTGTTTGTATGCCCACGTGTGTTTGTATGTCCACATGTGTTTGTATGTCCACGTGTGTTTGTGTGTCCACGTGTGTTTGTATGTCCACGTGTGTTTGTATGTCCACGTGTGTTTGTATGTCCACATGTGTGTGTATGTCCACGTGTGTTTGTATGTCCACGTGTGTGTTTTCCTGTGCAGGTGTAGGCGTTCGGCATCACACGAGGCGGACGTGATCACAGAACCGTGTTCATGCTCTAGAGCAGATTTTGAATGGTGAGTGAAATGACTAAATGCCCCGGAAGTTCACGTTATCGCACCACATACTATACACACACTCTAGTGTTCTTAGACAACACTGATAACTGAATGTTTCGGCTTGCAGAGCGGTGGGCGTTTGACGTCTTTAACTTGCCCAGACTAGGCCGGATCTATGACGTCAGAGAGATAGACTTTGTATGGGAGTAGATGGGGAAATAGCAGTATTTTGGCTCTCCCTTGTCCCAAAGTAGCCGGATGTTTTTCAAACTTCGGTATGGGACATATGGCACCCTAGTGGTATCCCAACTGGAAAAAAATCTGGTAAGAAGTTCGCTGTTGGAGAGATACAAGAAAGAAATAGGTTATTCCCCATCTACTCCCATACAAAGTCTATCTCACTGACGTCATAAATCCGATCTTGTCTGGGCAAGTTATTGACGCCATCATGATGTCACCAAATGTAATGAAAACTTCATGCTGGTATAGCTCAGGAACGGCTGCTCTGATCAACCTGGGACCTTCACCATTGGAATCCGTGCAGTTTTTGTTTTAAAGGATTGACCAAAGGCTGCAGGGACCTATCGAGGGGCTCTCCTGTCTTGACGGCACTGTAGTGAGCTGCAGCACACAGTATCACCTAAGCACTGTATGTACATGTAGAAGAATGGATAGTATGATTCTGCAGAGTTCCAGTTATTTCTACTAGCAAACAGACCATGGAATCAGCCGTGCTGGAGACTGTTCGTTGAAAGTCTCATGGTTCTTTCACGCCGACTCCACAACCACAAATAAATAATATAATGAGCCTCTCCAAACGAAAAAAAAAAGGGTCTAACAGAGTCAGATGTCGATTTGAGTTATCTCCATCACTTTATGCAGGATTCCTGTAGAAATAGTCTGCAAACCGGAGCTAACAATAGGGAGGTTTCGCTCTACGGAATTACGTACAAGTATGAAAATAACGTATGAACTGCACGGAATTTTCACACGTAAACATCAGAGCTGTTGGGTTTCGCTCTACGTGATTTCTCCACGACTGCTTAACATGCGTTGTTGCTTTGGAGACGCGTTGGCTGCATGCGCCCACCGCATGCACCATGAACCGAAGCCGCGTTTCCATTATATTTTGCACGTGGTGTACGGTGTGTGTACCGGTGTTTCGCGCGGCTTGAATGTTGCCATGGACAAATGCGGAAAATGCGAAAAAAATATTTCAAAAAGTCCTACGGAGGACCCAACGTAGGAAAGAGCTTTTCTACGGAAATCCGTAGAGAGATTTACGTATGAAAGTTGCCCTCGCTCCCCGGCGCGTACGACATACGGATTTTCATACGTAATTACGTAGAGCGAAACCTCCCTAATATCATGCTTTTCAACATGGACACGTAGGTTACGCAGCCACTTCTTCCCAACAAAGTTTGTCGGAAAGCTCCAACACACACGCTTTTCAAGGAATGCTTTCTCAGCTTGATAAAAAATCCTTTAGGCCCCTTTTCGCTTGGAGCGGCTCCAATGTTCATTGCGACCTGGGCTTGGGCAGCCACATTGGCTGTCACGGTACTGTTACGGTACTGACTGCGAGGTGACTTAGTTGCAGGCTTTCGCTGGTCTTCCCCCACGCAAGGTCTGACTGCCTCGCGTACACCGCTGCTGTCGTGTGGCTCGCGACGATCACACATGGCCAACTACTCGATCACAAATCACGAGTTCTTTGCCATCGCGATCAGCAATGTTCTTGGCATGGTCGCCCTCTTCTCTAGCCAAAAATATCCTCACGTGTGTGTGTGTGTCTGTCTGTCTGTATGTGTGTATGTATGTGTGTATGTGTGTCTGTGTGTATGTGTGTATGACTGTATGTGTGTCTGTGTGTGTGTGTGTGTACATGTGTGCGAGCGTGTGTGTGTGTGTGTGTGTGTGTGTGTGTGTGTGCGTGTGTGTGTGTGTGTGCGTGCGTGTGCGTGTGTGTTCATGCATGTGATTATGCTCAGTGATTATGGCTACGTGCTAGTTCCCAGTAACGGCTCGTGTGTAGTGGACAAGGACTTGCCGCACAACATCAGCCGTGCAATGGAGTGTGAGAAAGGACAAACACACTACATGAAAAGCACTGGGTGAGAATCAAACCAGCTTACTAGTACTGTATGTGTGTTTAAGCAAGAAGCTGGCAATAGCTGCTGGAATTGTGCTCAGTGCACTAGATGCAGTGCATTCATACACATGGACATACACATGGACATACACATGGACGATAGAACCACTCAGGATACGGTTGCTACTTACTTAGTGTTTGAAACACTAAGTAGCTACCGTATCCTGAACGGTTTTATCGTCCGTGTGTAGATGTATGTGCATGTGTGTGCGTGTGTGTGTGTGTCTGTGTGTGTCTGTGTCTGCACCCGTGTCTGCACGTATCCCTGCGTCAGTCCCTGTACATGATTGGCAAGATTCCCATACATATGTGATAATGTCTGCGGATCTTGTTTAAGGTACATGTACTTGTAAGTACATGTATATTTATGTCGACGTAGCATGTATTTCTTGTCCGTATCTGTGCCTGGCAGCCAGAATGTCGATCCTTCGAGTCCATCTCTGTTCTTGCTCCTTCTTTGTATGCAGCTATCGTCATCTACCAGCTGATGAATGCAAGGGTGGCGAGGCGGATAAATACGGAAATTTGCAGAAGACACCTTGCCAGGGCTATGCGGAGACCATTGAGGAGGCTGAGGCAACCCCGTCTCCTCCGAAAAAGAAGGTATGCGACTATGTGTGTACTTGTAGCGACGATACCACTGGACAGGGATGAATTAATCCTGCTGTGTGTCTTTGTGTTTAGTATACCACTGGACAGGGATGAATTAATCCTGCTGTGTGTCTTTGTGTTTAGTATACCACTGGACAGGGATGAATTAATCCTGCTGTGTGTCTTTGTGTTTAGTATGCGTGTCAACGCATTGGTCCTCTCTGAGTATATGTAGTGCAGCATGCATGTGTTATTCTTCGTATTGTGACTGTCAATCCAATCGAATTCATCGAAGGCTTCTTTATGCTCATGCCTGTCAGTATTTCGTCAGACAGCGTACTGTTGGTGCTGCGCCATACTTCGAAGTACTACCATACTTCCCCCACATATAAGAGCATGACTGTGCTTATAAGCGAACATTCGCTGCAAAAAAGATTTTTTTGCTGTGTAAACATGTCCGGATAGGGGCACATGCGCTTATAGCGTTATGTGCAATAAAGGTTTGTCTGTGTTCTTAACATGTTTAGTGGTATATTCAGCTAGTGGGTGTTTCCCCAATAGTATTCACATAAGTACAAGCACATGCGCTTATAATTGGGGGGGGGGGGGGGGGTGCTTATGTCCGGATATAAGCACATATGCGTACACGTGCGGATGTACGGTGGATACTTTGGAGTAGTCTCTCCATTGCACAATCATCAATATCCGGTTGTGACGAGACTCGGTATTAGAGAGTTTGAAACAGCTGAGTCTATGATGGTGTTTTGAAACAGCTGAGCCCGTTATGGTGTTTTGAAGCGGCTGAGTCTATGATGGTGTGTTGTACGTGAAAGTATGCTGACACTGATCCTGCACGTGCATGTGTAGTGAATCCCTATGAATGTGTGTTTGTACGGAATCCCTTCTAACTGTGTCAGGTGTGTTATGTTGTGATATGTGCTGTGTTTCTGTGGTGTGTGCTGTGTTTCTGTGGTGTGTGCTGTGTTTCTGTGGTGTGTGCTGTGTTTCTGTGATGTGTGCTGTGTTTCTGTGATGTGTGCTGTGTTTCTGTGGTGTGTGCTGTGTTTCTGTGGTGTGTGCTGTGTTTCTGTGATGTGTGCTGTGTTTCTGTGATGTGTGCTGTGTTTCTGTGGTGTGTGCTGTGTTTCTGTGGTGTGTGCTGTGTTTCTGTGGTGTGTGCTGTGTTTCTGTGGTGTGTGCTGTGTTTCTGTGGTGTGTGCTGTGTTTCTGTGGTGTGTGCTGTGTTTCTGTGGTGTGTGCTGTGTTTCTGTGGTGTGTGCTGTGTTTCTGTGGTGTGTGCTGTGTTTCTGTGGTGTGTGCTGTGTTTCTGTGATGTGTGCTGTGTTTCTGTGATGTGTGCTGTGTTTCTGTGATGTGTGCTGTGTTTCTGTGGTGTGTGCTGTGTTTCTGTGGTGTGTGCTGTGTTTCTGTGGTGTGTGCTGTGTTTCTGTGGTGTGTGCTGTGTTTCTGTGGTGTGTGCTGTGTTTCTGTGGTGTGTGCTGTGTTTCTGTGGTGTGTGCTGTGTTTCTGTGATGTGTGCTGTGTTTCTGTGATGTGTGCTGTGTTTCTGTGGTGTGTGCTGTGTTTCTGTGGTGTGTGCTGTGTTTCTGTGGTGTGTGCTGTGTTTCTGTGGTGTGTGCTGTGTTTCTGTGGTGTGTGCTGTGTTTCTGTGGTGTGTGCTGTGTTTCTGTGGTGTGTGCTGTGTTTCTGTGGTGTGTGCTGTGTTTCTGTGATGTGTGCTGTGTTTCTGTGATGTGTGCTGTGTTTCTGTGGTGTGTGCTGTGTTTCTGTGGTGTGTGCTGTGTTTCTGTGGTGTGTGCTGTGTTTCTGTGGTGTGTGCTGTGTTTCTGTGGTGTGTGCTGTGTTTCTGTGGTGTGTGCTGTGTTTCTGTGGTGTGTGCTGTGTTTCTGTGGTGTGTGCTGTGTTTCTGTGGTGTGTGCTGTGTTTCTGTGGTGTGTGCTGTGTTTCTGTGGTGTGTGCTGTGTTTCTGTGGTGTGTGCTGTGTTTCTGTGGTGTGTGCTGTGTTTCTGTGGTGTGTGCTGTGTTTCTGTGGTGTGTGCTGTGTTTCTGTGATGTGTGCACTGTGTTTCTAATTACTACATTCTCAGAGCTATGCTGGAACTGTAGTAATCCTACTGGTGGCGACCATCGTCTTTCTTGGTGGTGTTTATGTGTACTTTAAACGGCGAGACGTCTGCGTCCCTGGACGGTATGTGAGCATGGACTATCATCATAGCGAGACGTCTGCGTCGCTTTTGTTTCATGTTGTTCTTGGCCATGGGAGTTTGAACAATCTTTGCAGTATGGAATAACTTTCTCTACTATGCATGTACTCACAGTCGGAACTGTTCAGATTTGACTGCTAAGAAAGAGAGACAGAGACAGACAGCGTGAGAGACAGAGAGAAAGAGAGACAGACATAGTGAGAGACAGAGAGACAGAGACAGACAGCGTGAGAGACAGAGAGAAAGAGAGACAGACATAGTGAGAGACAGAGAGACAGAGACAGAGAGGAGAGACAGAGAAAGAGAGACAGAGACAGAGACAGAGACAGAGAGGAGAGACAGAGAGACAGAGACAGAGACAGAGAGGAGAGACAGAGAGACAGAGACAGAGAGGAGAGACACAGAGACAGAGACAGAGAGGAGAGACAGAGACATTCCGAGTACTTTTAAATTAGTTTCTTGAAGTGTATGTGGTACAGTGGTGGCAGCTCAACTCCTTACGGGTGTATTACTACAACTGTTGTATTAGCAAGCAGCATCAGTGCTGCAGATGCACAGCCAGAACACTATACACACTAAACTGTGCCAGGAGGCATGCAGCACTGCTTTACTCACCAGGTCGGACTTCACTTGTAACCACTGTAGTTAGTTAGTCTTACAGACCCGACACCGGCACCGTTGTCCTATATCCTGTTTTCCTTTGTCCCTTGTCCTGTTTTCTGCACAGCCACAAAGGCACTGCACGGTATAGTCGTGTGCGTACTGTACAGTCTTCTAGCAGCAGTAGTAGTGAGGACGACGCACCGCTGCTTGATGTTTCCGGGCCTAAGGTGAGTAGTAGCGTGGGAGTGTGCACTACATTCACACCTTGCTTAACCTCACACATACATTTTCCACGAAAAAATGTCCGGATAGGCGAGGGAACCGGATAATCGAACACACATACTGTATGTATGCATGACTTTTGCTGTAAATCGGTAGCCAATGATTTTCTTCCGGATGGCGAGGGATCCGGATAAAAGAGGATAAGCGAGGTCTGACTGTACATTGAAGTACTTTTGAAGTAGAAGTCCCCAAGTTTGCTTCAGTGGGAGTTGAGGGGAACGTGATCATCACTGTAAGGACTTGGACCTTTTGCTAGTGTAGCAATAGATGTAGAAAAAGTCAAAGTGAATGTGAATTTCTGTGGATGTGAAAAAATGTGAATGCGTCCCTGGTTTGAGTCCTGGCAGTGATGGTCAATTTTTCTTCAGACTTTTCCCGTTTGCATCTTTCCCTCAAACCAGTGAATACTGAATGTGAATTTCTTTGAACTAATTTTGTTCGCCGCTTACGAACGACCATCCCATCATGCTTTTCAGAGTTCGCTTCCCTGTCACACTTGCACACTTACACACACATATTGTGTTCATTCCTGCAGTCTCGACGCTCTGCCCCTGCCCAAACCACCACAACCACCGACACCACCACTGTCCCCACTGTCACTGACGCAGTCGAGCCTTCATCCTCAGCCATTGCTAGCAGTGACTGATTGCATTACATCACTACTTAGATTACGGTGTCACGTGATGACATCATCATGTGTCGTATGACTATGTTCCCGTCATTGTTGAATTCAAGATTTTCCCCATGAAAATTTACTCATAATAATATGAACCATCCCGTTTCTATACTGCCTGAGACTAAATAAATTGATGATTGTAGGGCGATGCAAACGTGTTGTAAGCTATTCTATAGCTGTATTCGCACCCTTATTTGTTGTTCTTCAGGTTATTATATAATTATAATTATCTTATTGAATTTGATGTTGCTGCTGTTCTTTGTCGCTGCTGCTGCTCTTGTTGATGATGAGGGCACGGCTTCTGCTGTATCAAAGGCATGTGTTTCTAGAACAATTCATTGCAATCATTGGTCGTTTACACGCAATATTAAACCTGGCGAAATAATTTACAAACACATTTCTGGCGGCAATCAGCACTCAGCACTGTGCAGAAGACTTTAAAAGCATGCAGGTAAGTTATATACGTGTATACGTGGTGGTGACGGCGCAGTAGTTAGTGTTGTGATCAGGGACTGTTTTAACTCACTTTGTACTTGCGTGTACTTGTAGTTGTAGCTAGTGCAGTCATACCATCATTATTGCAGTGAACCTTCCCTGCCCTCGCCTCCCTTTCTTTGCTCCATCAACAAAGCTAGCAACGTGAGAAGTGAGATAGCCAGCGGTATTTTAAAAGGGCTGGTGTGAACGAGAATCATTTGAAGTGTGTTGAAGTCAATATAACAGACAACAGCAAAAAAAGCTACCTCATTTTATAAATAGAAAATGGAGGGACAACAACGGCAGGTGGACTTATTGCATCCACAGAAAATTGTTAGTCTAATTCCAGATCAAATCCGATATAAATGAGGCGTAATAAAAAACGGAACCGGAACAAAAACGGTCAGCAATGGCAACTCCCCTAAAATTATCTCATTTCGTAAATTGTGAGGGAAAAATGATCATGATTGATTTTTGAGTATTCCAATTGCGAAAAGGCGCTCAATAGGTCTGAAGAAGGCGGCAAGGAAGGCGGCAAGAAAAGCGTGAAAACGGATGAGGGGAAAAGACAGCCTTGCCTCGGAGGGTTGCCGAGCTCACCCTGTCATTACGCATTGCTATACAGGCTAAACACACTCTCCATGGTTCAAGCAGTCGACTACTTTCACAGCTGCTAGGTATCACAAATTGTACAGATTACGTATTAGACAGCAGGATCGATGAATGGCACAGGCAGATACACTGTCCAGCGTAACGAGGCATTGCATTGCCAGCAAGAAGACAATCGCCAGCGGACAACGGATGGCGGATGGCGGTGGTGAAATGCCCAAGACTGTATTTATTAGGCGGCGTGTGAAGATGACTGTATTAGGGGTGCTAATTAGTTGTACTCTGTGTGTGATATAATTATATATATACGTACACATTCGGTGGTGGGGAGGTTCACTTGAAATTTGAGTACATCTCAAAGGAGTCCAGGTATTGCAGGATTGATTCATAGATGAAGCGGTACTGGTCCTGAACCAGCAGGTCGCGGACAAGAAAGACACGATGATAATGGACATGAATAAAAACACGCACGCACACATACAAACAAACACACAAACACACACAATTATACACACACATGCATGTACGTACACAAGACAGAAATGAAGAGTAGAAGACCATTGTAGAGACCATAACGACCTGAACTAGGAAACCATTTCTTGGCTTTGCTTGCCCTATTGAAATGCTACCAAACATCTTGAACAGTGCATGTAAGAGACTCTGAGTAGCTTCACACAGATCAATTCTCTGAGAGATAGAAAGCCTTGTTATCGTGCAATGCCGACAGGCAATATGTGCATCACATGAGGGGTGAATTCTGGAATATTCATGATGCAGCTTGACATCTTTTTCAACAGACTTGCAGACGCCACTGCAGCCACATTAAACACATCATGACCATACCAGGGTAGCGACAAGGCCTGGGCGCTGTCCTCGGATCGACTTGACTGTCTGATAGACATCCAGAACGCCGTCGGACTTGACACGCTCCAAGCAGATGCTCAGTGCGCAGAAGACGCCAGTTCGTCCGGTGCCAGAACTACAGTCACCGAGAGCAACAACAATGGCCGCAGTGGCAATGAGAACACAATACACAAGGAGATTGCAAATATCTTAGAATACATCCTAGATACTAGTTCTCGTCGCGATAAATGCCACACAGCGTAAGCAGTTGAAACATTCTCTGGCACATTAGGACAAGAGGCTTTGAGAAAAAGAATGGTTCGAAGACTCCACAAGCAGCTCTATATAGTCAGTACACAGTCACTGGTGGTCAACACTGAAAAGCTGGTAAAAACATGGTGAACAGAAACTGAAGACATGGATGGTGGGCATGGATGGTGGGCATGGATGGTGGGCATGGATGGTGGGCACAAACCAAGTAAACATGACAATGAGAAACTGATGACACAGATGAACGGTGTGCGCAAAGCAAGTATTTTGTACCTGCAGTGTAGGACTATGGAGCGGTTGCTTGTTGCTTGCTGCACTTTCTGGATCTGGCCGAGCATCTGTATGATGTCTGCAGCACTCGACGGTTTCCCACCGCTGGGCCATGCTGTGCACTGGAAGTGCTGAAGCTGTCTGGAGATCGTCTCTTCTTGCTGCAGCAGCACACAGCACAATGTACAATAGAACAGGACAGCACGGTACGGGTCAGCACAGGTCAATATCAGCATAGAACAGACCCTACTCCCAATCCTGCGGTCCTGAAATCAAGCAATCATGCGGCTATACTGCTATACTGCCTGCTGAACTAACGTTGCATGCAGCATGGTAACACTTGGATACGACAGACAATTTCCCCTGTCCCCCATCCCCTTCCCTTCAGAATGGGGAAAAGAACATAAATTCACTCAAGTTTACAAAAGTACTTGCAAGAACCATGATAGTATTACACAGTACAGTGTCTGCTAAGCTCCATCATGTGTAGCTACAGGAGAATGTTACCTTTGTGCACGTAACGAGCAGTTCGCGCACCACAATGTCACCGTACTGTGACTCGGATTCCTTAGACACCAGATAGTCACCGTACAGTGTTGGCTTGCCCTCGTCCGGCCAGTACAATATGCACTTCTCCTACGACGATCCACATGGAGTATGTACATGTACACACACACACGCACACACACACACACACACACACACACACACGCACGCACACACACACACACACACACACACACACACACACACACACACACACGCAAGCACGCACAAACATGCACACGCACAGACAGATAGACACAAACACGCATGCAAGCGAAAACACACACACACACACACACACACCACGACCACCATCATTTACATGTAGCAGGCACAGAACATGTCGTAGCGGACGCATTAGGTACCAGTGGGTGAGTACAACAGAATTAAAAGGAGAAAGGGAAACAATGTCAGACCAAATCCACTAGAAAGACAGAATTCCATGACCAGCAAGTCAAACGCCAATGAACCACATGCACGGCATTATTATAGTTTATAGTCACTCACCTCACCACCCTCTTCCAGATTGGTGAGCATAACAATGTTATGTGAGCACTGCTCCCACACCATTCTCCAGAAGTCGTTAACGGTGTCCTTGATAGGTGCCTGTGTTACGATGTATGCATTCTTGTCTATATAACCCTGGGTACAAACAAGAGATATAGAAGATAGCAGATAGCAGGTAGCCGAGTTAGCAGAGGTAGACAGAAATGAACCCACATCACCATCGCTCAGGAGTCCGGGGGGGGGGGGGCAGGCAATGTTGGTGCTAGGGCATGAAGAAGGAATTCGTTGTGCCAGCGTGAGTTCTGCTGCCCCGTTGTCGACTGTACAGTCATGTAGTCGTGACGTCCACAACATGTGTAACACTCGTACTCCTGAGCTGAGCTGTATCTTGATCCTTGACTAGGTCAATATAATCTCATCTAACATATTCATACTGTATCTCAAAACCAGTCACTGCTCATGGTAGACCCAGTCAGAATGAATATTCCACATCCGTAGGAACACCGCCACCCTTGAAAAAAGGAACACGGGGCAGGTTCAGCCTAAGGCGGTGGGAGGTGAGTAGATCAGACCCACAACAGAGTTTCCAAAGACCGAAGACCGGTGGGCGGGCATAGTAGGATGGTCTACTTACGCCATGAACAAGACACAGAGGGTAATGCGAGCACATAAATCCAGTGGAAATATCAATTAGGACTGCCTCTACTTCAAAGCTGTTTTCATGCAACAACACAGCTTTCAGGTGCCTATCCCCCCCCCCCCCAGAGCACACTGTACACGTATGTGGCAAAATATTCTACAGAAGTAGGAGTAAGAACATAAGGACAGCATCTCTATGCTTTGTGGAATATGTAACCATTATTTTATATTTGTTGTTGTGGGCTTACATTGACATAACTAGCATTGATGTAGTCCGATCCCACAATACCAGGGATGACGCGCAGCTTGACTCTCGTGGACTCGACTGTGCACACACGCACATGCACATGCACATACACCCACACATGCACACACACACACACGCACACACGCACACACACACACACACACACACACACACACACACACACACCGCACAGAGTTAGTTGATCAATGGTATGCCACACTACCAAAAACAACAGTGTCATTCTGTAAAGTGCAGATTGGGAAGGGACGCCCAGTACAACAGTATCAACAAGACCTCAAGACTTACTTGGTACGTGTGCCCAGTACAAGTATCAACAAGACCTCAAGACTTACTTGGTACGTGCGACTGGCTTCTATTCTTCTTCCTGTTGACTGTCTCATTACCTGCTTTACATAGCATGTCGGATTGAGTTGACTCGTTCAAATGCTGCACCACAACGACAACACACACGCGCGACACACACACACACACACACAAACACAATTATACACATGCATTTATGCTTGTTGTATTTGCATACATGTGCAACAGTACACTTGAAATCTCATTACCAAAACTACCTTCTCTTTATACCAGGTTGGTTACATCACATGTTGCCTATACATGTATATCAGAAGCGGCCGGTCACCTGTAGTCACTGACAACAGCATGTACACAGGTCACTGACAACCGTGCCTGCAGGCTTCTGTTAGAGATGCTCAGATGCACAAGAGATTGATTGTAGATACGCAGGGCCTTGGTCCAACCATGTATGCGCCCACTTCAGACCAACAGTACTCAATAAGGATACTAGCCATTGACAGCTGCAATGTGAACATCTGAAGTACCTCAAACTCGCGTTTCATGTTCCATGCGTCGTCCGCAGGCTGGTCGGCATTGAGCACTTCAGCGTAGTGCTTCTGGAAACTTGTGATGTTCACCTCGGTGCAGGGAGTGCTGATTGCCTCCAAGATAGCGTCGTGGACGAATACATACTGGACCTGCAAGATGCACACACGGACACATGGATGGGCAGACAGGAGGGTGGACAGGTGGATGGGCAGACAGGAGGGTGGACAGGTGGATGGGCAGACAGGAGGGTGGACAGGTGGATGGGCAGATACATAATAGCAACAGACGGACGGACGGACGAACAGGCGGACGGACATGCAGGCAGGCAGACATCAAGCAAGAACTTAGTTATCCACATGATATACCAGCAAAGGTTCAGCTAGAAAAGCAGCAGCAGCGGCTGCTATTCTACGTCTACGCACTCAGTGACATTCGAAACATGTGAGCGTCAGGGAAATCCATATTGTGTCCATGGCGACCCTACCCAATACGTACACACACGCACATGCAAGCCTGAAGACAGGAGAGTGTGAAGGTTACCTCGGTTTGCACCATGAAGTTACGCTGAGTACGGATATGCTGCAGGAAGTTGAACACATCAATGGTCTTCTCCGCCTTGATGCGCATCAGTTGTGTCTCAATGACTATGTAGGTTCCAGTACGACCCACTCCAGCGCTGCACATACAAACAAACACACCAGTACATGTCTATGTATGCACATTAGCACGTATACACTGTAGCTGCTTAGTTAGACATTGGTAAGACCATCACAGAAAGCATTGACAGCAAGTATGCATCACAACATACTGACATTGTACCAGTCAACACTACGCAATAGCCTACAGTAGTACAGAGGGATGAAGACTTACTTACCACCATGAATTTCCCTCCACTAACCGTTTTCAAGAGTGACTTTTACACACACACACACACACACACACACACACACACACACACACACACACACACACACACACACACACACACACACACACACACACACACACACACACAAACACACACACACACACACATGTGCACACACACACACACACACGTACACACACACACACACATACACACACACGTAACACCCTACCTGCAATGCACCACCATTGGTCCAGACGTTGGGGGCATGCTGGCACGAACACGCTTCATGAAGTTGAGCAGCGGTGTGGGCTGGTCTGGAACACCGTGATCAGGCCAGCTGGAGAAGTGAAACTGCCTCACCTCACGACTACGATTGGAACCACGCTACAGTACAGCAAACCATGATACGGAATCACAGATCAGAGAGAGAAAGAGCGAGAGAGAGAGAGAGAGAGAGAGAGAGAGAGAGAGAGAGAGAGAGAGAGAGAGAGAGAGAGAGAGAGAGAGAGAGAGAGAGAGACAGAGAGAGAGACAGAGAGAGAGGAAGGGAGGAAGGGAGGGAGGGAGGGAGGGAGAGAGAGAGAGAGAGAGAGAGAGAGAGAGAGAGAGAGAGAGAGAGAGAGAGAGCACTCCAACGCATATCTCACAAGCAACACATCACCATAAAATGGGCCAGTGCATGCAATACCGTGTCTAAGGGCAAATTTTTGGAATTTTTTTTCTTTCTTGAAAATCAATCACTGGGGTCTAGAGAACAACTCTGTGGAAGATGAAGCTGGATATCACATTTGAAAGTACATAGAGACCATGATTTCTATGGCATTGTCCAACATGGAATATGCCTTGTATAATGCATTATCTACAGCGTCGCCGAAAGCAGCAACAGTTTTGCGTATACGCCTTTAGTATTGGCCAAGACATTCAATGAAGGCTGCCTTGTTATCCAGACAAAACCGGGCAACATTGTCCAGCAAATTCTTGCAGCGTTGACCTAACAAGAACTCGCGTTCCTTTTGTGCAAAGACAACATGGTCACGGAGTGGTTCCGTTGCAGACTTCTTTTCATCCTCTGCACGAGGAGCACAACTATCGTCCTGGAGCAGCGCACACTTGTTGAACACATCCATCCGTTGCGTCATGAACTCGATGGACTTGCACTTCCTAGTCCACAGATACAAACAAAATATGGTAACCCAGGGTTTGCGCTTCACCAGACTGCTCGACATGTTCAGAAAGGACAAACTTGTAGGCGACGGATGTAGGTAAGTTTCATGGGAGATTCCTCACCTCTTCCTCTTGGTGCAACAGACAAAGGGAGACCGAACACTAAGCTGTAGTTCAGTCTGTTCAGAATAAACTGCTGCGCTCTGTCTCCCACTTCTGCAGTAAATATATTCCAAGGCACATTGCCAGCTTTCCATGTGCACCAGGGTCACAGCTAATGTTCTCCTTGTCCACTTGCACACAGTCATGTTCTGCCAACCACATGGAGCTGCATAAACGCGGTTCGACACACGATGTGTCCCATCACAGTTTATCCAAACGTGATGCGCGTCCTTTCCGTTGCGGAAGCTGTCGACTGATGCACGACAGTCGACAGGATCGTCACGCGTGCAGCGCAGCCAGCGCACAAATATAAAAAATGCCGAGGTCCTTCGATTTCATCGCCGAGATTTAGTCGTCGTAATGGAGGATTGTGCTCGACGTGAAGCTGCTGAAATGGTAGTTCCGAACGCAGCCACAGCCTTCATGAATCAGTCAGTCCACAGCGGCAATGCTCTGAAGCGCGTCCTGCTCATCGTCGCTTGCAGAGGCAACAGAATCTCCGCCTAATTCATCCGCTCTCGACTCGCCTTCCCGTGACCTCAACACAGGAGTCTTTCACTCCCGGACGCTTAGCTGGGTCTTCGTCAGAGTCACTGTGAGCAGAACAGCTGCTAGTTGCCGACTGCTCCGACTCACGACTCGCCAAATAAATTGTGTCTTCCTCCTCGATAATAAACCTTGCCGATCTCTTCGGACGCGCCGACGATAATCACGCGAGCGGTACAGCTCAACCGGCGTGCTGCTCGGCGTCTGCCACGAGTGTGTCTACTCAGAGGCCCTTCCTCAAGTGCTAATTCCTACTCCTCCTGCGCCGCCACGTCCATGATGATCGCTTGTCGGTCGCTTCTCTTGTCGTCTTCAGATCGAGGAGACAAGATCCGCGGTCGAGCCACAAAAAAAATAACTCTTCTTTCCGAGCGATTTTCTCAAAATTCTGAAAGAAATCGGTTTCCCCCGAAGACACGTTTTCGCATGCACTGGCCCAAATAGTATTACGACTACGTCGTGCAACTACGCAAGAGGAACACAAATGGAAGCAAAATTGGGCTGTTTCGTTGTTACTCAGAGTTTCATGGTAAAAAAACAATCGTCAGACAACATAAGGAGATTAGAAGAAGCGCAGGTAGACAAAGGCAAGCAGAGGAGATAGAATTGGCGCCTTTAGGGTGAAGAGTGCCTTCCACTGCATGTTTTTCACAACGTCCTCGACTCTGCTTAGTAGCTTTATTGTATACTCCTTGTTGGTAGGTACTGGTATACTCTTCAGGGAATCCCCGAGCGATACTGGCCTTATAGTTTCCATTGCTTGCAGGATGAAAGCGATATTGCTCGACCACTAGGGGAGGGAGCGAGACACACAGCGTAGTGGATATCCTACTTAGCAGCATAACAACATCACACAGTCTCTGTCAGATCATCCCTCTTACTTTCTCCAGTGAGAACGTCCTCTCCACCGAGTCGGAGAGAGCCGTCGTGTCGACATGGTGGACGTTGAACTGCCCGTACTTCTCAGATCCTGCGTTCGGCCAGTACTCATTGCACTTGAGCTGACGCAGACAGGAGAACACAGACAGCACGGTACCAGTCAGTATACAATGCACATGTACATGACATTGGATACTATATGGCCATACATGTTCTCGCAACACAGTGCATGCCGTACTAGCAGCATGCTGTTCCTCACTTTCCCCACCCGCATGTTTAGTCAATGTTTAGTCAATGTTTAGTCAATGTTTAGTCAATGTTTAGTCAATGTTTAGTCAATGTTTAGTCAATGTTTAGTCAATGTTTAGTCAATGTTTAGTCAATGTTTAGTCAATGTTTAGTCAATGTTTAGTCAATGTTTAGTCAATGTTTAGTCAATGTTTAGTCAATGTTTAGTCAATGTTTAGTCAATGTTTAGTCAATGTTTAGTCAATGTTTAGTCAATGTTTAGTCAATGTTTAGTCAATGTTTAGTCAATGTTTAGTCAATGTTTAGTCAATGTTTAGTCAATGTTTAGTCAATGTTTAGTCAATGTTTAGTCAATGTTTAGTCAATGTTTAGTCAATGCAACATTGCTACATGAGTGTAGTACTTTGTTCATGAAAGCATGTTATGCGAAGGTTTAGACTAAGACTCAAAGTCACTCCATTCATACTGTAATGAGTAAGTACAGCAGTGATCACGCATGCACACGTGTGTGCACGCACGTACGCACGTGCACGTATAACTCACTCGTCCACGCTCTTCCAAGTTGGTCAGCATGACAATGACATGCACGTCCTCTTCCCAGACCATACGCCAGAAATCCTCGATGGAGTCCGGTACAGGGCCTGGCAGATTCGACACACACGTCAATTCACAAAAATCAGTTCAGTGACTCCACTCACCCTTTCATACAGTATCATGATAACATGTTACTGAGCCAGGGACTACAACCGGGGCCAAAACAGGGAATACGCCAGGGAATACGCCAGGGAATACGCCAGGGAATAAGCCAGGGAATACGCCAGGGAATACACCAGGGAATAAGCCAGGGAATAAGCCAGGGACAAAGCCAGGGATTACACGAGGGTCTAAGCCAGTGACTGCACTCGGAACTAGGCCAGGGACTACACCAGGGCCAAAGCCAGGACTACACCAGGGCCAAAGCCAGGGACTACACCAGGGTCTAAGCCAGGGACCAAGCCAGTGACTGCACCCGGGACTAGGCCAGAGACTAGGACCAGGACCGCACCAGGACCACACAAGGTCCAGGGACTGAACCAGGACTACACCCACTCGGGAGGTGTCCAGCACCAGGCCAGGCTATGAGTGTAGCCATAATAAAAAAAATGCTTACCCTGTGTTGCAATGTAGGCCTTTTCATCCTTGTAGCCCTGTATAGCAGAAACAATGACACAACCACAGAGAGCCAATGACACGACCACAGAGAGACAATGGTCTTAGCAGGTTATGGTAAGCATTGCAGCCTGGTAGCCAGGACCATAACAGAAACAAGGATACACGTCCAATACAGTTGCAGAAGGAGTATCGGGTGCTGCACGCAAGCAACAGAAGGACGAGGCGAGAATGAAGAAGGAGAAGAAAATAAGGCGCGAACACAAAGGCGTGCACACACACACACACACACACACACACACACACACACACACACATGCACACGCACGCACGCATGCACACAGGCGCCGGGAACTTACGTCGATATAGTTTGCATTGACGTAGGATGTGTCCGTTTCATCCTCCGCCATCTGTGAGAGAATCACTCTGGAATGGTCATCTGTGGACCAAGGCAACAAGACCAGCAGCAGTAATGCTTGCTTGAGATTTCACAGCAAAGTTACCCAAACAAGCACAAGATAGCCCCATGATGCCTCAATTCACAGCCACCAACACCAGCACAAGCACATCGTACCGTGAAAGCAATCGCAACTTTGAAGTACAAGTTGTTCATCAGATTATGGGGCACATGGCTCACTATTGCCATTCAGACAGCTGGAGATGTTCACTCACTATTGCCATTCAGACAGCTGGAGATGTTCACTCACTATTGCCATTCAGACAGCTGGAGATGTTCACTCACTATTGCCATTCAGACAGCTGGAGATGTTCACTCACTATTGCCATTCAGACAGCTGGAGATGTTCACTCACTATTGCCATTCAGACAGCTGGAGATGTTCACTCACTATTGCCATTCAGACAGCTGGAGATGTTCACTCACTATTGCCATTCAGACAGCTGGAGATGTTCACTCACTATTGCCATTCAGACAGCTGGAGATGTTCACTCACTATTGCCATTCAGACAGCTGGAGATGTTCACTCACTATTGCCATTCAGACAGCTGGAGATGTTCACTCACTATTGCCATTCAGACAGCTGGAGATGTTCACTCACTATTGCCATTCAGACAGCTGGAGATGTTCACTCACTATTGCCATTCAGACAGCTGGAGATGTTCACTCACTATTGCCATTCAGACAGCTGGAGATGTTCACTCACTATTGCCATTCAGACAGCTGGAGATGTTCACTCACTATTGCCATTCAGACAGCTGGAGATGTTTAACACAAAGGGCACTGTGACTACCTCACTACAGTCACTGGCAATATGAACTATGCACGTACGCTTACACGCACGCTTACACGCATGTGCACACACACACATACATACATACACACACATACACACACATACACATACACACACACACGCGCATGTTCTCTAAGTCTCTCTTCATTCACCCATCTACTTCTCCCGGAAGTATTTATCTATGACTACAATCATCCATCTACTTACAGCACAGAATGTTTGCATAGCGATTCTTGTTGCGGTTTTCTGGTGCCCCGCACACTTCATACGGCGGCTGTGGTGACTTGGCTGTGATCACCTGCCAGAGACAAGCGTAGCACAGCACATGGTCATACAGCAATTACACAACAGTGATACAACAGTAACAAAGCAGTCACACCACAGCAGTCACACACAGAACCATGCTCCACTAGAGTTCATCACAACAAAGTGAATACAGCAGCTGCAGTACCCATGGAAAGTCGCCGTACAATGCATATCAAACTCAGTGACCCAAACAGCACATTCCAGCGATTGTACTGCACGGGCTGTCAAACCCAGAACACAAGCTATGCACAATCCTAACTTTCTTGTTCTCGATTTCCGCATGCACCTGCCACAGTGCAAGCCAAGCAACTCCATTCACCGCGGCGCATGCACGAGTCACTCTGCACTCTACTATAGTTTGACAGACAGCGCTGCCAGCAGCCCACCGTACATCGTATTCTTGTGAGAAGTGATAATTGTCGTTGGCGTGCAGCATCTGCACGTGGCTTGCAAACTCATCAACTCCAATAGGGCTGGGAGAGATATAGTCCGGTTCCACTGCACAAACAACAAACAACAGCAACAAACAGCAGCAGCAAACAGCAGCAGACAAACATGACACCACTTTCTTTGCGAAGAAAACATGTCACTCTCAGAGCAAGGCTGTGTGCAAGTGGCACCAATGGAAGGTGTCATCGTCACAGTCCCGCTCTCACAAGATGGAACTCTCTTCCACCTGAATGTCGCCAGGCAGCTTCCTTTTGCAACACTTATCAGCATGGAAATACTACATGCACTACTCCTTCTGTCTCCCTGTGTCTTCCTGCACGTAGTAATGGTCTGTCTCCCTATGGAATGGTCCAGTCACTCTCTGCTCTTTCTTTTTTCTTAACCCTTTACCGGTCTACCATAAGCGTACCGATACTATAGTATCGGTACGTTTGGCCCTCATTTTGTTGGGGTTTTGTTGCTAGGAGACAGCTAAAATGGCGCTCTACGCGTAGCTGAGGTCCAAGGCTTTCTGACGATGTGCAAAACAACCATGCTTACCATACAAATTTTTGCCGTATCGATTGACTGAAGTTTGTTGAAATTGGAAAAGACGACCATCCGCCATGCGCGCATTTCAAGAATGCGAGTGCATCTCTTGGGGCCGTGTTTGACAAGCGTTCTGAGAGCAGTAACATCACCAGTCCAGGCTGGATGTCCCGGGAGGTTTTGCAGTGTAGTGTGTTGAGAAAAAGAGCTCCGTTGAGTCCTGCTAGTTCAAAAATATATCGTCCACGAATGAAGAAACAAAATTCTACAAACAGAGAGGAAGCCTTCTTGCTGCCGACACGGCGACAGCGACTGTCACAAGGACTCGTCAGGTGCGATCAGCTGATTCGCCTGGCCGTGAGAATCACGGCATGCGTAAGCTCGCGCCTGAGTACTCATCTGAGCGAGAGTGAATGTGACGCGAGCAGCGCTAAGATGAACAAACCGAAACTGCGATATCGTGGAATGGGAATTGCTGCTGCTGGCGTATCGCCGATGGCGAGGTGTTCTGTTCAATGGCGGTATTGTAGAGAGCCTACATTTCTTGTAAAGACGTAGCCCTTACCTGATTGTTTATCGTACGACTTCAGCTCCATCACGAACTTGGTATGCCCTTCGTGCTGTGATATTCGTGTATTTCATTCGCAATTGTATTTTCTCTCAACTTGAAGGGCTACCATGGGCCCTATCCTTGCCTGGACCTAGTCATATTTGAATTTTCTGGCATACCGATTTTGAAAATATATGGTTTAACCATACCTACATCACATGGTTCTTGAGTTATTGCTGGTTGTGTGTACATGTATTTGCGTGACCACCCCTCACATACATTGAGTTAGACCGGCAAAGGGTTAAATGCCTTTCAGCTGTGGTTGACATCCACCCCTACATCCCTGATCTGGAATACATGGAAATGCAATTCCCCGGCCAGCCCGATAACGATTGTCGTTTCATTGTATGAATTGCGCAAGTCTGCAGCAAGAGCAAAGAAGCAAGAGCAGCAGACGGGTAACAATCAAATGTTAGCACTACTACAAGTACGGTTACAGTCATCCTTGCACAATGCTCTTCTTCGGGCATTCTCACCTGTCTTGCTGTCCCGCCGCAGCGAGACGTTGTTCACCCGTTTGGACTGTGGGATGCACACAAACACACACGTATGCGCGCACGCGCACACACACACACACACATGCACACGCGTGCACGCACGCGCACACACACACACACACACACACACACACACACACACACACACGTGCACATGCATGCACGCACGCACACACGCACGCACGCACGCACACGCACGCACACACACACACACGCACACACGCACGCACACACACACACACACACATACACACATACACACACATACACACACACATACACACATACACACACACACACACACACACACATACACACACACACACACACACACACACACACACATACACACATACACATAAGCACACAGACATACACATACACACACACACACACAGACAGAATGAAGAGGGATAAATTAGCGATGTATCTCTGTGAACACACCGGATGTGGATGCTTGCGATGATGCTGTGGACTTCAAGCCTATAGCTAAGGGAGGAGCGTACTTGTAGGTACAAACAAATTCACACAACATTAATCAAGAATATCTACACATCTGCTCATGCTGTATGTATCCGGGTATGTATGCATGTCCTGGCATGTATGAATGAATGTATGCATGTGTGTATATGTGTAATTGTGTATGAATGCATGCATTGTCGTTGCCCAACATAGTACATAGTGCAGCTGTTCATACAGGCATGTACACAGTACAGCTCACACATGTGCGTGTCCAGATTTTACCCACGAATACCACGAATACCATGTACATGTATCTGTACACTGTACAAGCATGCAGTTCATGCAGTCCACGGCACACTGAGCACTCTAACAACCTACCCCCATGTATATGTTGGCTGTACAAGTATGCAGTCACACTGAGCACTCTAACAACCTACCCCCATGGAGATTACACTAGCGCCAGTTCCGTCTCTGATGTGTGCCTCTCGCTTTGAGGATCTACCAGACAAGCAGAACACAGGAATGAGATGCTGCACAATACAAGTATACCTACAGTCCTGCATTTCAAAACTATAGACGCGTACCTGGGCAAAAACCGTTATGCCAGCATCTATACCACATAAAATCTGTGATCACTTTGTGCATAAATTTTTCCAAATTGGGCGTCTGTTATCCAATCCTTAAGAAACTATATGAGAGTAATTGTGGAGCGATCCTGAGCAATATTCCGAAAACTATTCTCAAAAAGTTCCAGCCAAATTTGAAATATTTCAAAAACCCTACGCGTCTATAGTTTTGAAATGCACTGTATGCAATACATTGTTCATACTAACACATGAAGCACAGAAGCCACTGGAAGTTTGACAAGACCTGTCGTACTATTACTCTACAAAGTCGTTACTATGCTGCTATGAGTGCTGTAACAGCAAACAAGTCCTGATATCTAGCCTTTAGGGTGGTCAAAGCAGTGACACAGTGGCACCTAAGAGAGAGAGAGAGAGTAAACGGCACCTACTACATAGTGAAGCATTCAATATAGAGCACAGTATCAAACAGCAGTGGGGACTACGGTATTACAATGTCAGAACAGTGACAACTTTCGCACATACTTCTTCTGCACACACACAGTTCATGTTTCAGCTTGGCAATACACACCGCCTCCAGCACAGCAAGGTGCAGGAGCTGTACTGATCTGTATCGATGGTTTCAGTATGCAGTTGGCGCCACTCAGACTCTCTTAGGTGCTATTTTTGTCACTGCTCTGACCGCCCAAACAGCTAGATATAAGGATATTTTTCGCGCTGCTCTGATCAGCATTGTATGGACTGAAGAGTAATGGTACGAAAGGTCTCGTCGAAACTTCCAGTGGCTTCTGTGTTTCATGTACTGGTTTGTTTTCGTCCAACAAAAGATCTGAGCTTCTTTTTATCCATGATTACTTTGGCTGAACATCCGAGTTCAAAAGACCTATTGTTCATACTTCAAAACTATTTTTATCATCAGGATATGCACACTAGCATCAGGAGAGAGAGAGAGAGAGAGAGAGGATGGAGAGAGAACCTCGGAGCAGTAATTCGAGTACAACACAAAGGAGAGGACAGGCATACAGACAAACACACGGACAGATGAAGAGAGTGCGTGGGCAGACAAGCAGATAGGCAGACGAATGAGCAGACACAGGCACACACTCACTCACTCACTCACACACACACACACACACACACACACACACACACACACACACAGAGTAAGCATAAAAACCGGTGCAGGTCTACAGGGTTTAATCACTGGCTTACAGATAGTATTTGACCAAGAGTGCCGCAGCCAGGATGGCCACAAGCAACAGCAGCATTGCCACCACAATGCCAGCCACAGCACCAGATCCTATACCAGTTGAAGCTGCAGATACGCAGTACACGTGTACATACACACACGGCGTGCGGACACCACGCACGCACATACTCACGCACGCACGCACACACGTACTCACTCACGCACGCACACACGTACTCACTCACGCACGCACACACGTACTCACTCACGCACGCACACACACATACAGACACATAGTTACTCCCTGCATTTTTGCGCCTTCCCACTGCCAGAAACTGGCCATACGGGTCTCCCCATACCGGGGAGGGGGGGGGGGGAGGGGATGAGGGGAAAGGACCAGAAGGAGTCTTGCGAGAGACAATCCAACCACATGTACAACGTAGATATTGGGCTACATCTCAGTTTATACGCGCATGTAACGCTCTGTCAGCGCGTGCCCACCTGCGTTTACTGCACATAGTACTCCCTATTTACCCGTAGCGATGCCGCTACTTCACACTGCATTCCACATCTACCCGTAGCACTGCCGTTGAGCTGCCCACGCACACCGCTGTGCACGTGACACGGGCACGGTTCGCGGTTCGCGCCACGAGGGAGCGTGTTCCCCTCTAGCTCTGTCGGCAGCTGAACCTACCAGCGCATCTGACCCCATATGTGCATGCACTCGTGTTCTTTGTTCATGTTGTTGCTTACCACTCTCACTTGCTGTTTGCTCCAACACTAGCTCTTTGCCAAATTGTCCCCATCCCAACCCACCCAATTTGGCGTGGTACTAGTATCACAGTACTCATTACTACATACTATCCGAGTCACAAAGAAATAAGGAACTCACGGAAAGGGTGGCATTCACATGGAGTGGGTGGCTGCAAAGCACCCCGTAAGCCTTTGAGCTGACACCCAACTCCAGGTTACCAGCCCCTCTGCATTCGTCCTACCATGCAGATGTCCGGGTGTAAGCGTAACCCCGTTAGCAGCCTACTTCCACATCTGTCCTACCATGTGGAAGTGCGGTGTAAGCCTAACCTTGTTAGCGGCCCCCTCCACATTCGTCCTACCATGTGGTGGCCTGGGTGTAAGCCTAACCCCATTTCCCCCGCGTGAGTTCCAGTCTAGCCCAAACCTTGTCTTCAATGTCTGTGCGTGCAGTGGGACGTTAACTCTTTCACTGCCAGCTGACCACTCAAGGTGACAAGGCGCTCCCTGCCAGGCTGTCAGCTGAGCTGTACACCCCCTCCCTGCCAGGCACTTTTTACCTCCAGCTCGAAAAATCGAAAGGCCCACTTTTCCTGGATTTTTTGGTACTTTCTGTACGGAATATCGCTTTCCAAAGTATACATCGTAGGTAGACAACTCACAAAGGAAGCCATTGCCGTCGAAAAAAATCGCAAAATCCGAAGGACAAATGTGCTGCGCGATCTAGCGCCAGCCGCTGTGCAAAAATGCGTGTCATGTCATGCGAAAGTGCACCGTGCGCCGCATGCGCTACATACACTATGTACACGATCGGCCCGGACACTCGCAAAGTAAAGTTAGTTACTAGTAGTCGTTGTTTTGGAGAGAGAAGCAGATCCTTTTTTTCGTTCGCAGGGATTGAAAGATATGCCAGTGGACAGGAGAGCTACAACACTGGAAGCAGAAGAGATGGCTTGCGGAATCTTCTCTATCTTCGTGACAACAGGACTTCAGTTGCGAGAGACTTTCGTCCTGTCGTTGCGGACGAAATTCTTGTTTCTTGTTGCTGCCACCAGAAAACTCGGAGAACGAAACGTTCGTAAGTCGTTTGGTGAAGCAGATCGTGTCGGTGAACGGCTGTGGAACGTTCTGCCGCCATGGTGGTCGTTTGTTCTCCCAATTAGCAGCAGTCCAAATACTTTTCAACTTCGGAGAGTGAAGCGCTTCCCTGTTCCGTTGACAAGCGCGGCGTTCGCGGGTGTAATTCACTTTCGCATCAGCTTGCAGTAGATCGTCAGGTATTGAGCCACAGGTAGGTGTCGTTGTAGAAAGAATATAATTATGTTGTAGCTGACATACCTGTAGTGTCTCTTGACCATGCTGGTCGCCATTGTAACATGGTAGTTCTTAGAAAATTTTAGTTCTGGACCCAGTGACCGCCGCCAGCGCTGTTTCCGTCAAGTTTGCAGTGAATGCGTCCGCGAGGAATCTATCGTCTGGTTGTCTCTACCCGTGACTCCAACCGCCTATCGCAACGGATAGCCGCCTGGAGTCTTGGGTAATAGCTAGGCATCAAGTCTGAACCAAATTCCATGCTCCGTGCAATGAAAGTTGACGGGAAAGAGGAAAATACTCGCACCGACTCAGCGAGGTGGAAGTGCGTGAGAACCGGTTTCTTCCTCGCCGATCGGCTAAAAATCGGATGCGCATTTTCAACGACGCTGCTTCGATTTTTTTCAAATGGCAACCCATACTTCTGGAAGCGTATTTCGATGGGTATGGACATCTTCCAGGGCCCAGTGGCCGTCTACCACAGCTAAACATCTCCAATATTCGAAAAATAGAGGCACAAACTGGGTGAGGTCTGCCTGTCGACAGAAGTCGACAACAGCACTGGGGACTGCATGTTTACTCGTCGACACAAGTCGACAATGGCACTCGGAGTGCATGAATGCGCTGTCGACTGCAGTCGACAGCGGCAGTGAAAGGGTTAAATGTACTTAAAAGCAAACACCCCGCCCCCGCCCCCATCCCCCCCCCCCCCCCCCGCCCCCATCCCCTCCCCCCCCCCCGAATCTCGAAACTAACGTCATAGATGGACTTGGAAATATAGGCGCACCAATGTGTTCACCATACTGCAGTAAACCGGGCAAGGACAAGATTGTAGTGAATGAATGGGTGACATCAGGGTATACAATATGCTGGAATGCAACTGCACTGACCTCATCCCCAGGCAGGGTTAACTGTATACGATACACTTAATGTAACTTAATGTGGGCAATGAAATGAACTTGATGTGAAACCTGAAACTAACGCACGTAGCACACTATAAAACACACAAAACGTGCACACATGCACGCGTACACACACAAACACACACATGTACGCGTACACACACAAACACACATACACACACACACACACACGTGCATGCGTGCACACAGATGCCCGAGTGCATTGAATAAACGGATGCCGACGGCTACAGCAAGTTGTCATTATTGTTGAACTATGGATTCCAATATGATAGCAAAGATTATCGAGTGAAATTGCCCTACACTGACCAGTGGACCTGAAATCAGCCTCACCCACAAATGACCACTGACCTCTTCTGAATTATTGTGTGGTGCGGGGAGGTGAAGGGAGGGGGGGGGGCAGGGTGATGGGAGAGAGAGGGGGGGGGGGGGAGGGTGGAAGGGAGGGAGGGGTGGGGTAGGTAGTGGGTGATAATTCAGGGGCACATTTACACAGGGGCACATTCACACAGGGGCACATTCACACAGGGGCACATTTACACAGGGGCACATTTACACAGGGGCACATTTACACAGGGGCACATTTAAACAGGGGCACATTTACACAGGGGCACATTCACACAGGGGCACATTTACACAGGGGCACATTTACACAGGGGCACATTCACACAAAGGGCACATTTACACAGGGGCACATTCACACAAAGGGCACATTTACACAGGGGCACATTCACACAGGGGCACATTCACACAGGGGCACATTCACACAGGGGCACATTTACACAGGGGCACATTCACATACGCGGACACGTACACACAGAGACACAGTAACACACAGACATTAATAGAACTTGAAATTCGATTCGCTTACTGTGTTCGCATGTTGTCGTACTAGTATCTGTTTCTAGTCTGGTAGAGCCTGATGTCAGACGTCATAATTACAATTAAGGGCTGGTGTATGTGT